CCAGCCTAAGGAGGGGTCAGTATGAGTCGGGTCCTACTCAATGGCACATAACAACAACAACAATAACATAGTTTTAAAACTTAAAACCTTCCAATTTATTATTACATTTCTTTCTTTCTCATCCTAATTAGAAAAGGACTTTCACTTTGACAAGATAAATTGCTCTAGCCACACTGGTTGTTTAAGTTTCCTGTCTTCCTAGTTTCTAAACTTCATGTTACCTAACTCATGTCCTAATTCTCTGCTGAAACCGCTTTGTTGGAGGTTACCATCCACTAGTACAACAGTCTCCTTCCTGCCAGTATTATCTGTCCCTTCTAGTTCATCCTGTCACAGAATCAGTTTAACCTTTCTAAAACACGAGTTTCATTATGTCAATCCCTCACTTAAAAACACCTCATGGAAACTAGTGGAATGAATAGTGGAAAATAAGGGGAGACCAGATTATGGTGGTTTTTGAAAGCTGGGTTTCACGTGAGAGGTTTTTTAGGAGTAACATGATAAAAAGTGTTGTTTTACTTTGATCATGCTAGTAACAGTGGGCAGGATGAATTAGAGATGGGGAGGATGAGTCAGGCAGTCAGCTGTTGCAGGGATCAGGTATATTATGTTGGTATCTTTGTAGGGTCTGGGCCTGTCAATGAAATGCTACCTTGCCAAGAAGTTCATAGTGTTGCTTTGTAAAAGCTCCTAACTTGGTTGGAGTTTGTAAGCTCTTAACGTAGCTAGAAGAAAATGCAATTTAATTTAAGTGTAGTCATTTGATTTTAGATATAAAAGCTGTACCTGATGTATAAAAGGGTTTCTGTGCAATCATTTTAAAGGGTTGCTGGGTCACTTGGACATGTGGGGCCCTGTCCAGGAAAACCTGTTCACTCTCTTCAAGAGTCATGATTATAATTGGTTAGCCCCATAAAAGGAGTGCTTCGGTTCTTTCCTCAGAACTCCTGGGCAGATGGACCAATCAAAATTCTGTGGTTCAGTTACTGCTATTAACTTGCACATATCTGTGCTCCTCAAGACCCCTTCAGAATTCCAGGATCCCTCTCCCAAGTTGTTACCTTTCTGAAGTGGAAAGAACTATAAACCCTTCCTCTTTAGTTTGGCAAGAGACTCTCTCCAATCCTCACTCTTCATTCCAGGAAGCAAGCGTTAATAGGATGCTGCATTGAAGCTTGCTTTATTCATATATAGTAAGACTATGTTCTATAGATAAAAGGTCTCTTGGTTAGGGGAAGAAAAAGCCTACTCACTTTATTCTTCAGAGCTACAACATTTGTCTTCGGAATGAAACTGAGAAAAAGGCAGTCAGACAGGAGGCATCTGACCTCCTCTAACTTCACTAGGTGGAGACAGAATCACCATCAGCAGTATCAGCACATCACAGAGGTCAGACATACCTTCTCTCGTCAAAGTTTTTACAAATTCTGACACAAACCGTCCCTCCCATGGCACTCTCTACTACTGTGCTGGATTCGATAATTTGTTGCATTGGTCACATAGAACTCACAGGGGTTTATTAGGGAAGTAAAACCAAAACTGTTGTCGATAATTTGTTGCATTGGTCACATAGAACTCACAGGGGTTTATTAGGGAAGTAAAACCAAAACTGTTGTCGTTAAGTCGATTATGACTCATAGCAACCCTCCAGGACAGTAGAACCGCCTCATAGGGTTTCAAAGGCTGTAAATCTTTATGGAAACAGACTACCACATCTTTCTCCTGTGGAGCTGCTGGTGGGTTTGAATTGCCAACGTTTTGGTTAGCAGCTCAGTTCTTTAACCACTGTGCCATCAGGGCTCTTTATAAGGGAACTAGCAAGTTACAATTCAAGTTCAGGAATACTTAAGATACAATTCTTTGATCAGGACAGCCTCTCCTCAGTCTTTCTCTCAGCTGTGCCACAGACAGGTCTCTCTGGTCCTAGGCCCCTTGGCCTGGCCACTCCTCTGTTCCAGCAAGTGTTGCAAACCTCTTTTGGCTTTGCTGATAAGTGCCCAGAAGCACCCCATTCTGACAGCAATCCTCCTGGCTGAAAGCACTCTGCTCTCTTGCTCTGTGAGTCGGCATACCCGCCATGCTGTCTCCTACTGGTCTCCTAGTTTTGCTGCCTCTGGGGCTGCTGTTTCTCTGCTGCCACTTCTTGCTGTGTTGTGCCATCTCTAATGCCACAGCTCTCTCTCTCTTTCTGTCTCTCTCGTGGGTCCAGGAAGCTCCAAAAGTCAGAACTCCAGGTCCAGATCCAAAGGACACACTTTGCTCCTAGCACATCTTCTTGGTGGTGGTGAAGTCCCCTTTTCTGCCTCTGGAGTAGTTCATTTTAAGCCTACTGGGATGGCAAAACTGACCAATCCCCTTGTTAGGGTTCCATACACTTTATTTGCATGGTCTCAATTCACAAGGGTGCCACAGACACCTAATTTCCATAGTCCCATGCAGTCATTTGGTGGGAGTTACAAAGACTATGGCTAGAAGGGCCATATTAAGCAATTCAGTACACCACTGGAGAAGAACCAAGGAAGGAGAGACTGATCATAGAATCAAGTACCTAGAAATTTGATAGGATGAGTTACTGGATTTTCCCATATAAAAATTATCAGAGACTGTGGAGATTATGGTTTCAGAAAGCCGTGAGTTCAGAATAAAGATGGAAAGAGGAAATGAGATATTTAGTAGTGGAAAGTGGAAGCTCCCTTAGCATTCTCTATGGTGATGTCAGGTTAGTTTCTCACTTCTATGATCACAGCTTCATTAGCACCTGCAGCCTATGCTCATGTCTTTTCAACTACTTATGAACTTTTGTTTAGAGTCTACTAAACTTTTAAACCTTAGCTAAATTTCATTTCCTCCATAAAATCTTTCCTGAAGATTATAGTTGCCATTCTCTGAGATCTTATTGAGCTTCTACTTCAATCATACCATTTAGCATGCAACAATTCTATTAAAAGTGTGTGCCTACTCCCCTCCAACTAGGTGGTGTAATTTTTGATTTTAGAGACTATATACATTTTAAACTTCTTTTGTATACCTCCTGGAAAAGTTTGGGTTCATACTTACTTATTAAATGGACCTCCAGATCAAAAGTTCTGTTACATATTTCAGGACAACCATTCAAAAATACTGTACTGTAAAAAAGTTTCTATCTCTATATGCTTTAAATCCTGTTACTTAACCAAATTTTTATAAAATGTATCATTTAACTATCACAAAATGATAGCTCAGGTCATTACTACAGTAGGGACAGTCCCCATAAGACTTCTAGCTATTAACTCTTAAATTCAGTCTGCATTAAGCAGCATCTTTATAAGCATCCCAACGGTAAAAGTGTTAAATTTCGCAAACACAAGAAAATGGGTATGAAATGATTATTTAACTGTGCACTTTGCTCATCTGTCAAATGAAGGAGACGGCCAGTGTTGCCAGGCTCCTGACAGGTTAGTTTCCAATCCTGGTTTTTACCTCATTATGTTGAAGCAGCCAATTAGGTCGCCTGGGTGCTGTGCATCCTGGGAATTGTAGTTTCTGGCTCCCTCCTCCTGACTACAAGCTCCACAGAGCGGCCGGAGGACGGTTGCTTGGTATATTATTAGCAAGTGGGAAGTATGGCGGTGGCGCGCGTTGAGGCAGCTTTGCCTCCGGGAGAAGGTAAGGAGTCTCAACCTTTGGGCCTCAAGCTTTACTCCACGGAGCAGGATTAAATAGTTACCCGGTGGAAAGGAGAACCCTGGGCTTAGGGGGTACAGTTCTGGACCAGTTCTTTTGATGCAGGGCTGTGGGCGTCGCGAGGCGCGCTGCTCTGTGGGAGTTGTAGTTACCAGGCGTTGTCCAGTTCTTTGGCCTCCAGGCTAGGGGCAAGCGAAGGACTACAGGCCCCAAGGGCCTTCGCGCGACTCGGTGCCCTGGCTCCCGCGCTCCTCGGGCTGGCCGGTCGGTGGGTTTCAGACTACCGTGTCTTTTTCTGGACATTTGATTTATGTTTAGGGGGTTCAGATGAAATGTGCATGTTCTCCTTCTTTCTCTTTCGCATCCTCTTTCCCCTCAGTTTCTACAACATCCAGGAAATCCTGCTACAAACACCTTTCCCTACACTGTCGTTGAACCCCTCCTTGAAACTGGCCGGCAGCCGTGATAAAATTTGGGGAGTGATCCATAGCCCACAATTTTCCACCTCTTGTTGCACATACGGGGTTCTGGGATCGGATTTGGTCGTCATTCAGCGGAGCGTGGGGTTTGAGTGCTTCTGTGGCCAGGAGATGATACCTCTTTGAGGCACCTGGAGTGAGCCGAGCTCCTTTGTTTTGGTTACGACTCCTAGGCTCCGCAGCAACCGTTTGGGTTAGGGTCAGGGCCAGGGCCAGGGGTCGGGACCCATCTCCACGATTTAAACCAAGGCCTCGTTATCTGGGATCTGTAGATTCTAAGCGGGGTGGGGGTTGGGAGGATGGGATGAGGAGCAGGGAGGGGGAGAGAAGAGACGATCTAGTGTCTCTAAGAGGTTGTCAAACCTCTTGGAATTGTGTACAAAAGCTGTGCATTTTCCTGAGACAGTACATGACTTTTCATCAGGTTCTTAGGAGCCCGTGACCTCCAAGTGCTAAACGCCTTTAGACGCGGAAAAACGTTGAAGCTTCCTGGGAGCAATCCACTGTAATTATTTACCGCAGTCCTAATCTGAGTATAAGTTTGAAACTGGCAGTCTCTGTGGCTCCTCCTCCTGCTGATATCTACTTCTGTTAAGCTCCACCTTCTCGGTCCACCCAGGCAATTTACAGACAATAATAGCAGTTAACGTTTATAGAGTACTTTTTAAGAGCCAGAGGATGTTCCAAGTGCTTTTCTTACATTATTTCATTATCTGTGTAGAACAACACTGTAAAGCCATATCATCCTCATTTTACGGAATAGGCCAGTGAACCCAAAGGAAATAACTTGCCCAACATATCACAGTGGGTAACTAGTAGAGCCAGGATTGGAACATTTGTTCTATTATGTTATAGTGCTTTATTAAGTGCTGTATGCCAAGAACAGGGCTAAGTGCTGTTCATATGGCTTCTCATTTAATACATGATGAAATGTGTCTGTTGTCCCCATTTTAGAGGTGAATTAACTGAGCTATACTCTTTTTCTGATGTCAAAAATTTCAGATTAAATGCAACTTAGAAGAAGCATGCAGACAATTTTATGATAATAGCAAAGCCATATTGAAAAAAAAATACATTCCTCAGAAAAAATATCAGTGACGCATTTTTAGAGACAAAATGGCTCAGAAAACTGGTTAAAGTATTTGAGTAATTAAAGTACATGAACAACAACAAAACCCCTAACATCTATATTATAGATATTTAGCTAATATATCCTGGTAATTTTAGTGTGTAAATGATATGAAATCAAATATTTTTTTCTGTAATGTACAAAGATGTATTGTTTTTATATTTTAAAATAGTTTTGGAACAGGCCCACAGATACAATAAAACCAACTTAAGAGTCAATAAATATTTCAATATAGTATGAGTTGTGATTTTTGGCATCACCTTTCACTATGAAAATTCTTCTGGTTTGGATGATAATCTATATTGTTCTCCAACTGTGAAAGGAAAGCAATACTCAGCATGTGCAAAGGCATTTATGGAGTATAAAGAAGGCTGGTGGGGCTTTTGCTTAGTGAAAGGCTTCTTCTGGGCCAATGGCTGGAACAGGTAAGGGGAGAGCCCCAGGCAGGAAGTGGGAGCTAGCTGAGAGCTGGAACATGTAAGGGGGGAGGCCAGGCAGGAAGTGGGAGCCAGTGGACAGCCCAGAACAGGTAGGGGGAAGGCGAGGAAGTAAATGGAGCAGTTTGGAACAACTAAGGGAGACAAACTTGTCTGTCCGTTTGTTGAACTGTGGTGGCTGATGTGTTGCTGTGAGCTGGAGGCTGTGCCACTGGTGTTTCAAATGCCAGCAGGGTTACCCATGGGGATGGGTTTCAGTGGAGCTTCCAGACTCAGACAGACTCAGAAGGAAAAGGCCATCCACTTCTCAAAGAATTGGCCAGTAAAGACCTTATGAATAGCAGTGAAACACTGTCTGATATTTTACTGGACAACTTTATGAATAGTCCTGAAGCATTGTCTGATACAGTGCCAGAAGATGAGCCCCTTAGGTTGGAAGACACTCAAAATATGACTAGGAAAGAGCTGCCTCCTCAGAATAGAGCAAATCTTAATGATATGATAAGGTAGACCTTTCAGGACCTCTATTTGCTGATGTGGCATGACTCAAAATGAGAAGAAACAGCTGCAAACATCCATTAATAATTGGAACACGGAATGTATGAAGGTCAATCTAGGAAAATTGGAAGTTGTCAGAAATGAAATGGACTGCATAGAGATTGATACACTAGGCATTAGTGAGCTGAAATGGACTGGTTTTGGCCATTTTGAATCAAACAACCATATGATCTACTATGCCAATGAAGAGGAGTGGCATGGCATTCATCATCACAAGGAATGTTTCGAGATCTGTCCTGAAGTAGAATGCTGTCAGTGACAGGATAATATCCATATGCCTACAAGGAAGGCCAGTTAATACTACTGTTATTCAAATTTATGCATCAACCACCAAAGCCAAAGATGAAGAAATTGAAGATTTTTACCAACTTCTGCAGTCTGAAATTGACTGATCATGCAATCAAGATGTGTTGATTATCACTGGTGATTGGAATGTAAAAGTTGGAAACAAAGAAGTAGTTGGAAAATTTGGCCTTGGTGATAGAAATAATGCTGGATATCGCATTATAGAATTTTGCAAGACCAATGACTTACTCATTGCAAATACCGTTTTTCAACAACACAAACTGCAGCTGTATACATGGACTTCGTGAGATGGAGTACACAGGAATCAGATTGACTACATCTCTGGCAAGAGGTGATGGCAAAGCTCAATATTCAGCCAAAACAAGGGCAGGAACTGATTGGGGAACAAACCATCAATTGCTCATATGCAGGTTGAAGTTGAAGACAATTAAATCAAGTCCACGAAAGCCAAAATATGACCTTGAATATATCCCTCCTGAATTTAGAGACCATGTAAAGATTGGATTTGATGCATTGAACACCAGTGACCGAAAACCAGAGGAATTGTGTGGAATGACATCAAGAACATCATGAAAAAGAAAAAAGGTCATTAAAAAGACAGGAAAGTCAAAAAGACCAAAATGGATGTCAGAAGAGACTCTGAAACTTGCCCTTGAGTGGAGAGTAGCTAAAGGAAATGGAAGACATGACAAAAGAGCTGAACAGAAGATTTCAAAGAGTAGCTCGAGAGGACAAAGTCAATTATTATAATGAAAAGTGCAAAGACATGGAGTTGGAAAACCAAAAGGGAAGAACACAGTAAGCGTTTCTCAAGCAGAAAGAACTGAAGAAGAAATTCAAGCCTCAAGTTGCAATATTGAAAGATTCTATGGACAGTATGGGAGCTCTGGTAGCGTAGTGCTGAAGGCACTGGACTGCTAACCAGAAGGCTGGCGGTTCAAACCCACCAGCCACTCCTCGGAAGGAAGGTTGGGCAATCTGCTTCCATAGTGATACTGCCTTGGAAACCCAAGGAGGGGTCACTATGAGTTGGGTCTGACGCGACAGTACATAACAACACAACATGGACAATATATCGAATGACGCAGGAAACATCAAAAGAAGATGGAAGGAATACACAGAGTCACGGTACCAAAAAGAATTGGTCGGTGTTCATCCATTTCAAGGAGCTCTGGTAGCACAGTGCCTAAGGCACTTGGCTGCTAACCAGAAGGCTGGCAGTTCAAACCCACTAGCCACTCCTCAGAAGGAAGGTTGGGGGCAGTCTACTTCCATAGTGATACTGCCTCGGAAACCCAAGGAGGGGTCGCTATGAGTCAGGTCTGACTTGACAGCAAACAACAACAACAACAACAACAACAACAACAACATCCATTTCAGGAGGTGGCATGTGGCATGTGACCAAGTACCAATGGTATTGAAGGAAGAAATGGAAGCTACACTGAAGGAGTTAGCAAAGAACAGGGCTCCAGGAAGTGATAGAATACCTATTGGATGTTTCAACAAACGGATACTGTGCTGGAGGCACTTACTCAGCTATGCTAAGAGATTTGGAAGACAGCTGCCTGGCCAACTGACTGAAAGAGATCCATATTTGTACCTGTTCCAAAGAAAGGTGATCCACAGAATGTAGAGATTGTTGAACAATATCATTAGTTAGTGAAATCTTACTGAAGATAATTCAAAAACAGTTGCTTCAATGTACTGCCAGAGAACTTCCAGAAATGCAAGCTGGATTCTGAAGAGGATATGGAATGAAGGATATCATTGCTGATGTCAGATGGATCTTGGCTGAGAGCAAAGAATACCAGAAAGTTGTTTACTTATGTTTTATTGACTGCAAAAGCATTTGATTATGTGGATCATAACAAATTGTGGATAACGTTGAGAAGAATGGGAATTCCAGAACACTTAAGTGTACTCATGAGGTTCATAGACCATGATGCTGTCATTCAAACAGAATAAGGGGACACTGCATGGTTTAAAATCAAGAAGGGGGTGCATCAGGGTTGCGTCCTTTCTCCATACTTAGTCAATCTGTACTCTGTGTAAATAATCTGAGAAACTGGACTATATGAAGAAGAAAATGGCATCACGATTGGAGGAAGACTCATTAACAACCTGTGATATGCAGATGACACAGCTTTGCTTGCTGAAAGTGAGGGTGACTTGAAGCAGTTACTGATGAAGATTAAAGACTACTGTCTGCAGTATAGATTATACCTCAATATAAAGAAAACAAAAAATCCTCACAACTGGGCCAATAAGCAGCATCACAATAAATGGAGAGAAGTTGTCAAAGACTTCATATTACTTCATTCTACAACCAATACCAATGCAAGCAGCAGTCAAGATATCAGACGACTTATACCATTGGGCAAATCTGCTGCAAAAGACCTCTTTCAAGTGCTGAAGAGCAAAGATAGCTCCTTGAAGACAGGTGTCCCTGACACAGCCATGGTATTTTCAATCACCTTGCATGCGTGTGAGAGCTGGACAATGAATAAGGAAGACTGAAGAAGAGTCGATGCTTTTGGTGTTGGTGAAGAATGCTGATCTGTGCTGGAAGAAGTGCAGCTGGAATGCTCCTTGGAAGTAAGAATGGCTGGACTTTGTCTCACCTACTTTGGTCATATTGTAAGAAGGGGATCTTCCCTGGGGAAGGATATCATGCTTGGTAAAGTGGTGGGTCAATGAAAAAGGGGAAGGCCCTCAACGAGATGGATTGACACAGTGGCTACAATGATGGGATGAAGTATAGCAAGGATCACGGGGCTGGGACAGAACCGGGCAGTGTTTTGCTCTGCTGTACATAGGGTCACTACGAGTCGAAGACGACTTGGCGGCACCTAACAACAGCAATAACAACAGGCTTCTTCTGGTTAACAGCCTTAGTCTTGGCTCTCTTTTTCCTGGCATAACTGAATTATGATTTTCAAAATGGTTTGGGTACTTAATAATATGCTTAAAGTTAGGTTGTAAACAGGTTGATCTATATAAAAAGTTTAGTTCCATAAAAGCTTATTTACCATTACTTAGTCATAAAATATATAATAGTTCTTATCTAAATGTGAAAAATTCCAAAGTATTATAGACACTTGAGCAGAAAAATCACAAATCTAGGTATACTATTACATTTCTGAGGAAAAGTGGATCATTTCAGTCTGTGATCATTTAGAACTCAAAATTGATTTATTTTCAAAATCTTAATATTTATTATGTTCTAGTGTTTTCTACTCATATGAGTCAAAGTCAACTGAATGGCTCACAGTAACAATAATGTTTTTCTAACACTAAATGTATAGTTTTTAAAAAATAATTTCATCTTTATGCTCAGCTAGTGTATGTGTTTTATTTGTGTTTTCCAACAATTTTCCTCTTCTTTGTCTAGGATCAGTGGTCAATTGGTCAGGGCAAGGACTACAGAAAATAGGTTCCAATTTACCCTGTGAAGCTGATATTCATACTTTGATACTAGATAAAAACCAAATTATTAAACTGGAAAATCTTGAGAAATGCAGACGATTATCACAGGTAAGTATTACTTGGGGAACTAGTTACATAGGACCAGTTTATTATTAAATGAAATAACCAAACAAAAAATAGTTCTACAGTCCTAGAAAGCAGCAAATGTTGTCTTATGTTTTTACATAACAGTTTTTCATGAAGAGGGAAAGCTATGTGCTACATTTAGAGTAGAGTAGAAGAAGAAGCATTGTTAAAAAAGAAAACATATTATGTTGGCAAAATAATGTGTTGCTAAGATAACCTTTTACCTCATGATGAGGGTAAAGAGTTCATTCATTCATTTATTCATTGATTCAGTTTATTGGACCTCTGTTATAGTTGCCATGAGTCAGAATTAACTTGATGGCAATGTTTTTTTTCTCGTGTCTGGCACTGTTCTAGGTCCTGAGTAAGACAGGACCTTGTTCTTGGAGAGCTGCTGCTGTGTTAAAAATGTTTTTTCTTTAGTAGTTGGGAGAGGCTTGATTGCTTTATCTGGTTGAGAGCTTTATCTGTATTGTCCATTGCTTAGGACCAACAACAAAACCTCTAATATTTACATCGTAGAATATTTGGTACTATATATGAAAAGTACAAATTTGGTTTGTGTATTTTGGGCTTGCTTAGGAGCTCTGGTGGCATAGTGCCTAAGGTATTTGACTGCTAACCAGAAGGCTGGTGGTTCAAACCTGCCAGCCACTCTTCGGAAGGAAGGTTGGGTAATCTACTTCTGTAGTGATACCCAAGGTGATACCCAAGGAGGGGTCGTTATGAGTCAGGACCAACTTGACAGCAATGAGTTTGGGTTTTTTTTTTTTTGCCATTTAAAGAATTTTTAACCCCAATGTGATAGTAAGAGACGTAAGTATTCCTAAAAATAATGAGGTGTTTTTTTTCCACAGTTGTCAGTGGCAAATAATCGACTGGTGAGGATGATGGGTGTGGCCAAACTGACCCAACTCCGGGTATTAAATTTGCCACATAATAGCATTGGCTATGTGGAAGGACTAAAGGAACTAGTACATTTGGAATGGCTGAATTTGGCAGGAAATAATCTCAAGGTGATTTTTATTTTTAATTACAAAAGTATTCACTCTAAAAAATAAACTCAATCAGGATAGAAATAAGTGGAGTAAAAAGTAAGAGTACTCCCGCTCCCTAGGGATCATCTCTGTTAACTTAAAAATAATCTAATTTTGAAATATGTAATGCAGTATAATATTCTTTTCAATACAAACAAAGAATCTACATTATACTTAGAAAACTACATCAAATGATAGACTAAAGTGTTAGGAGAGACTATATCATCCTGAATTAACTTAAAGTGAATATGTAATAGTATAATGAAAAACACATTATTTTAAAAGTCAGGAGATCTGTTTTCTGGTCCTACTTCCATGCACTTAGTAGCTGTATAATTTTGGATAAGTTAGTAAATATCTCTGTGTCTTATTTTTTGATATGCTAGGTGAGGGTACTGTATTAATAACTGACTCTTATTGAGTAATTTGTGCTAGATATTGTTAACACCTTAACTGTATTAACTCATTCACTGTGATGATAGCCCGTGAGGTAAGTACGTCACACCCAGAGAAGTTAAATAACTACAGAAGGTTACACAGCTAGAAAGTTGTAGACCCATTATTTAAATCCAGGCAGTCTGGCTCCACTTGTAACTTGTAAACTCTATACTATACAAACTGCCATATGTCATCACTAAAGTTTCTTCAAGCTATAAATATCTGAGGTGATAGACCTCCATATTAGCCTTCTGCTCCTTAAACAATAATAAAGGTATAAACCTGCATGACATGACAATTTACCAAATTCTGTTATTACTTCCTCTTCTTTGTTTTGCTAAACCCTGCTCCTCTGCTTCCAATAATGAACAAAGGAGGCAGGAGACTCTTTTAGCTGCAAGGAATATGGAAGAATTTTATACTTTGTTTTTGTGTACACAATATGATCTAATGCTTTTCTGGCTGTAGGCCATGGAACAAATCAACAGCTGCACAGCTCTCCAGCACCTGGATTTATCAGACAATAATATACCCCAGATAGGTGATCTATCTAAATTGGTATCCCTGAAGGTAAGTATGTTTTCTGAGCATGTCATTTTCAAAATTTTATATTAATATATGAAGAAAAAGTGATCTGATTGGCCTGAAACCACCTTGCCATATGTGAAGAACAGATTGTGTTTATTATGGTAAAAATTCTATTGGCTTACCAGAAATTAAGTTTGAAATGCTTTGTTGTTAGTTTCTATAACTGTTTTATTTTATGTAAAACTGGTCTTTGTCCTCTCTCTGGTCATGTCCTCTGAACATGATAGAAGTACTTCATGGTCAAGCAGCCAGTGCTAGTAGCTCATGTTATATAGTATATAGTATGTTGGTGAAGGAACTCTGCTGGTGTAGTGGCTGAGCCATTTGGCTGCTAACCAGAAGATGAATGGTTCAAACTCACCATCCACTCTGTGGAAGGAAAATGGGGCAATCTACTTCCATACAGATTTACAGCCTTGGAAACCCAGTGGAGGTTGCTATGAGTCAAAATCAACTCAGTGGCAGTACATCTGGTTTTTTTTTATTTATGTTGGGGAGGTTGAGAGTCATCATCTCTGAATTTGAGTGTTTTTTGACACTTAGTTGTTTTTAGTGTTATTATGGTTTGAAAATTAATTTTACTTTAATTGAAAAATAAACATATAGCATATAGAACTTTTATGGAGGGGAATGTATCATGCAATTGATAAGTAGTGATTAGAATCATAGCTTCAATAAACATATATAGGGCTTGTTCCATATTTTTGCTTCATTGGATATTATTAACATGAGAATGACCCATTAAGCCTTGAAAGCAGTATTTTAGCTCAGTTTGCCCCCCGTCATCAGTAGAAATTATTTTTAGCAACAATTATTATAAACAATTTGATGTAGTCAGATTCTGTACTGATAGTTGTTTAGAGAATTCAAAAGCATGAAAGGTAATTGAATCTTTCTTTTCTGCAGTGGAGACATGATTGTGTTATCAGAATACTGGGGGATCAGTATCTTGGATTTATTCTTGATAGTTGCTGACTTAATTTGAGTCAGTTTCATCTGGAAATAGATGTTCCACCTTCTATGACGTTTTAGCTACCAAGAGAATACAATTGTAAATTATGCGTTGTGGATTATCTTCCTCTCTCTTTTGAAAAATTTGCTGCATGCATGATTGTTGTAATGAATCTTCTCTTTTACTTTTTTCACCCTGTATTTTGATTTTTTTTTTAATAAGGAAGTAAACAAGCGTGCTGGAAATTGTTCAGCATCTGATAACTTAAATCTTACAACATGCTAGTTGCTATAGCAAATGTGTACTCTTAGGAAAGTTTTTAAGCTTTCTTGGGCTGAGGATGCTGTCATGAAAAGAGGGAGTTGGACTACCTAGGGCCCTTGTAGTATTAACCATCTTTAATTTGTGTGCAATGAGAAGGATAACAAAATGGATCCTTTTCCTCTCATATACACCATTTATGTCCTGTTAAAATAGACCAATTTATTTGCAATCTTTTAATTTGTAATTCATCCTGTTTTTACTTTCAAGACCCTGCTTTTACATGGAAACATCATCACCTCTCTCAGAATGGCACCTGCTTATCTGCCCAGAAATCTTGCTATACTTTCCTTGGCAGAAAATGAAATCCGAGACTTAAATGAGGTAAAATTTGAGGATATTCTATGGGATCAAGGAAACTGAAAAGTCTAGGAGGGACACAGGAGAAGGTTTTGAGCTTACTTGTAGACTGAATATCTTGAAAGAAACTGCTATCAATAACAATCACTTTACTCTAGAAGGTCATAATTTTTCTTTCTACTTTTTCTTGATATCAATAGGTGATTGAAGCTTAATTTTATTTGTATTGTTGCAGTTATTCCATTGGATCATGATTGGTGGTAGAGGGACATCTGCATAAGGGAGCTAATATGACACCCTGTGTACCTGCTATTATGTTTTTAAAATAGGGTTTTCTCTGCTAGGAAATAGTGCTAATACTTTCTAAGGGCCTTTGTGCAGAAAGAACAGATGGCCATATTGTTGAAATTTTGGAGGTCAGTGGATAATAGAAGAGTGTTGCTTTTTGTCACTTTGCAGAACAAGAGGGAAATTGTTACATTGTCAAATGCTGCCAAAGATGTAGAATCAGTGGTTGCCCTGTGCTTGACAATGAATAGTCCATTTCGTTCAACAAAGATAATCCTTTGTTCCAGATCTCTTTTTTGGCATCCTTAACTGAATTGGAACAGTTGTCGATTATGAACAATCCTTGTGTGATGGCAACGCCTTCCATTCCAGGGTTTGATTATCGACCATACATTGTCAGCTGGTGCTTGAACCTCAGAGTCCTGGATGGATACATGATTTCTCAGAAGGAAAGGTGAATATGACCTCTTTAACATCCCATACATCCCATTTATCTTTTTTTTTTTTAAATGCATTTTATTGAAATATAATTTATGTGCAGTGAAGTACACAAAACTAAAATGACATGGGTCAATGCATTTTTTTTTTTTTTTTTTTACAGTGTTCCCTCCCCTCCCCTCCAACCCCTGGCAACCAACGAAGAAAGTTTCCTGCCATATATAAACCTTTCCTTGACCCTCCACAACAATATACTAATACTATGTTTGTCTTTCTGTGATTGACTTATTTCACTCAGCATAATGTCCTCCAAGTTCATCCATATTATGCGGTGTTTTGCAAACTCTACATTATTCTTTAGTGCTGCATAGCATTCCAGTATGTGTATGTACCATAGTTTGCTCATCCACTCTTCCCCTGATGGGCATGTATGTTGTTTCCATCTTTTTGCTATTGTAAATAGTGCTGTGATGAACATGAGCGTGCTTGTAATCTGTTCCTATCCTGGCTCTCACCTCTCTAGGATATATACCTATTAATGGGATTGCTGAGTCAAATGGTATCTCCCATTCCAACTTTCTAAGGCAATTGGATTGTTAATTTCTTTGGTGTTGAGGTGTTGGAGTTTTCCATCAATCTTAGAGATAAGTCCCTTGCTAGATACATAATTAACAGCAAATATGAATTTGTTGTGATCATTTTTGTCATGTGCTTTTTCATTGTGTTAATTTCTTTGTTCCATGTAATTTACTATGCTGAGCTCGTTTTGTTTATGAATCATGTTGTCACTTCCTTCATTGCTATTGTTTTGGTATTTGCTGAATATTTATGCTGGTCCTCTGTTTTATTTTGATGTGAAGGTTTATAATTTTTTTTGAGGTTACCCTGTGATTTATAGTTTTCTTCCCAAGTGTAAAACAGTCTGTTCTATCTTGTAGTTGTCTTGACTTCCCTACCATCTAGAAGTTCTGTAACGACACAGATTTTTTTCCCTCTTTTTGGTTTGTAATTGTCCTCAT